TTTGTCCAACAACTCAGCAGATCTCGTGATGAGTGAGTGAGTCGCTTTTCTCTTGCATGTATATAGATTCCTCTCATGGTTTATACAAGAATTTTTCAAGGGGGGCTGGGGGTGGTCAAGGGTCGAAAGTCCACCCTTCTTGTATCATATCCCAATACGCCATTAAACATATTATTTTGATTTTATCGACTGTCGAGAACAAAAAAAAATAACAATAAATGATTTATTCAATTTATAATTAGCATTAATTAACAAAATAAATCATTAATAACAAATGTTTAAATTTTTCGTGATATATTAATAGGATTATAATCAATCGGAAAAAAATCAAGGGCTATCGGGGGGATCCAAACCCTTGGTGCCTTGTATGTGCCCTTGGATTCACTAAATAATAATTTATTTAATATTCACCAAACCAAATCTATTTCAAAAAATTATTTCGTTCGAATAATTTTTTTTTGCATGTTATAAGTAAAAAAAGACCACACTAAAAATTATTTCGGAATATCCTCGATTTTCGGAAAGTTTCATAACCATCAACATTCAAAAAGAGTCAAACAATAAATAATAAAAGGAAAGATGCAGCTCTGAAAACTAATAAATAAGCTGACAACGATTTCTCCATTCACAAGTGGACGCCGTACGGGAAGCGAGATGAGTATAAGAACGGAAGGAAGCCATAAAACTGAGGAGAGAATCGTTTCGTGAAGGTCGCAGCGATTTTCAGTGTCAGAGGTTTCGCGATTTGAGGGAATTTCGAGAGATATTTCAATGGCTGCAAAGCTTAAATTCTTATTGCTTATGAAGAATATTGGATGCAGTGTTAAAGAAGGAAAAGTACGAACATTATTAGAATTTTGATGTCATAATGTACGAGTTTATTACGAAATGCGTCTTTCACTATCATAAACAAAGGCACAATGATAAAAAATGCAAAAAATTTCCATTTAGTTTTCAAATTTAGTTTTAAAATTACATACATATCTGCTATTAAATTTTTTTTTTATTAAATGTTTATAGAAAATGGTTTTTAAGCATTAAAAGAAAAAAAAAATTAATCAATCAAAAAATGTTACATTTAGCATGGTTTTTTCTGTTTATTTAATTAAGCTCTTATTAATTAAGTATACTTTTTTCATTACATATATTTTTATTTTTTGTTTGATATAAATTCTACTTCTACCAACAAATTTACAATTACTTCTCGACATGTCTTAACTATATTTTTGTTAAGTTTATAGCATCGTGGAATTAGAGTCACAAGGGTATACCTTCAACCAAACCGTCTGCGGCCTAGACATACCGAACCTACACCTGGAGTCATGGTCTGAGAAGCAATTTCCTATGACAGCAGGAGCACTCTCGTGGTTATCCCAAACACGTGGACTGCAAATTTGAACGTCAGTCTGGCAAAAAATTCAACCTATAGTACAACCATTCATGAACAGCATTCTAGGGGGAGTTTTTCAACAGGATAACGCTCGCCCTCACACCATTGTTGCAACGCTGCGAGCTCTATAGAATATTGACATGTTACCCTGGCCAGCCAGATCTCCAGATCTATCTCCAATGTAGCACGTATGGAATATCTTTGAACGACCACTCCAGCATCTTCCACAGCCAGCCCTGAGCGTCCCAGTTTTGACACAAGTACAACAAGAAGGAAACTAGTTCCCTTCACATTCGGCACCTGTATGACACAATGCATGCAGGCTTTGAGGCTTGCATTCAAAATTTAGGAGGTTACACCAGCTATTAATGTAACAGAGTTTCACATTTGAAATGAATTTTCTTGAGCTTAAATTAACCTGTGATCTTGAAAATTCAATCAGTTAAACTTGTTAACTAAACAACTGCATTGTCCAAATTTCATTACTCTACAATAATTTTTTCTTGGTATTGAGATTTTTTTTTCCCATCACAGTTTTTTCCCCACGATTAAAAATCATTTATTAAATAAAAACAACTGAAAACATTAATGTATGGGAAAAAATGCCAATGGCAAGTAAAAAATTAGATTTTTGCGTTTGAAGATTATTCCTAACCAAATCAGCCAATGTTGAAACGTAAGATTTAAAAAGTTTGTTTTAGTTTGATCTAAACTTACGTAGCACTCTAGAAACAACAAGAGAGCAAGTGGCGAGAAACTTCCAGAGTACGCCAATGGGATGTCTTTAACTCTCGATCTATCTAACGTGCACCAGCCCCTCTATACGGCGGGTCTTCAGTGAGACAACAATACTAGCCACGAGAGTTCATGACCATGACTACTTAGCTGCAGTGTCTTGAAAAAGATTGAAGCTAGCGTTCTAAATGTGGAATACTCGAGCAAAATGCCCTTGATTGTGTGGATAATCAATATAGTTATAAAGAGAGATCCTTTTCCAGAAACAGACATTGTGATGTGTAAGTATCATCATCCGAGAGGTCACTAAGTTTCGATTTAAGTTGAATCTGATTTATTCATCAACTGAAAAATTTCTTCTGTGTGTGAGAATTCTCCTTTTAAACACCTGAAAAAGTTTTTGGTTAAACATTAACACAGTATTCCATGAAAAATAGTAAAATGTATCAGAAAATTTTATTATTTAAATATATATATATATATATATATATTTAAATCACACCTTACTAACTACCTCGAAAAAACCCAGATTTTTTGGGGGGTGAGTAAGAAATATGGATGCAGATATCTGTGGAGAGGATAAAAATGCCATACTCCTGAACAAATGAATGAAAAAGAAAATAATTGCAAAAAGAGAGAGAGAGAAGAAAAAAAGGGACTTATCCATGGCGACACCCCAAAAAATTTGATATTAATTATATAACTATATATTTCCTTTTTATGTACGCTTTCATCAAAATTATTGATTCAGAAAAGTAAATTCGCGCATGTTAAGTACTTCACCTTTACAGCTGCAGACTCAAGGACTCCCGAGTCCTACAAGCCACATTAATACAGTATAGCAGTGTTTCTCAAACTGTGGGGCGCGCCCCCCTGGGGGGACCCGATACTCTTACGAGGAAGGCGCGAGCATATCGAAAATAAAAGATTTAAAAAATAATTAATTTACTCTGGAATGAGAATTAAAACAAAATACTTTCAGACATAGTAAAAAATGTACTTTTACTCTGATATAATTTATATGCGATATAAGTCATCTCAAAAATAAAAACTCCTTCAATACCTAATTAGCTATCTTTGATCCAAAAAACCAAATAAAAAAAACTTTTATTTTATTTGCTGTAATCTCATGATAAGTGATTTTTACTACTCTTTCGGAGGAAAAACGAATCCCAGACCCAGAATAGAAAAAAATTTAGGAACATAAAAAATTCATCACTGTGCTTATTTTTGAAATACTGCACATTATAGCTGTAATCTGTTTTTGCTGATAATCTGTTTGACCTTCTAAGTTATTGGTACAGTTAGTTATGACCCCTCTTATATGTGTCTGTTTCTCATTTAGGGAAGTTGTAAGTAATGTATTTATTTCTGTGTTGAGCTTTTTTCCATGCAAAAGAGTTTTATGATATTTGGAAAATCTCGGAGAGCACTTTGGAGGATTACTTGGCCAAGACTTTTAACCCGGAAGTGGTCGCGCGGAACACACAGATCACAGAATCGTTAATTCTGGCCAAACTGTTTTTTTGTTACCAACGAAAAAAATTGAAAAGTTCTGGAAAGTAGGTAAGTTTACTTTCTCTTAATTAAATTATTCACTGGAATCACGATTTGTATCGTGTACAATAAAATAGTAATTATATATATATATATATATATATATATATAAGTATTGGTGTGACTCAATAATCGTATCGAGTGCGCGCCTGCTCCCGGGTTAAAACATGTTGAAGTCTTTTCGCTTTAAATATTAAAAATAATACAATTATTCTTCATCGGAATTTTATATTATTGTTCATTATTTATAACATCAATTATAAATGCTAATTCTGTGAGGCTTAAAATTACAATTCGCTTAAAACTAATTATAATTGGAGCAATCATTTTAAAAAAATCATTTTACATTTTTGTAAACATTGACACGCACTTGGCTTTACTCTCCTTACAATTCAGCTATTATATCAATAATGTTTTATTTTCTTATAGATGAACTCTTGCAAAGAGTGGGCACTTCAGCCGGTATACTTTTAATGTATCAGTTCTGCACAGAGTATTTTATAACTAATTAATTAATACTAAATTAAGAACAAGTTTTTAATAAGTATTAACGACATCCATGGGCTTGTCTTGGAAAGTAAAGTTATTATAAGGAATGCTTATGATTAGAAATTGACCCTCTGAGTTCTTTTTCTATATGTAGCTGATATCTATATTTTGTTTTCTAAGCAGCCCCCGCATTTTGCAATATGTTCAATTTAAAAATTAGAGAAAGGAAAAATAACATAATAATTATCCTATTACTTAAATTTTTTTTTGCTTAAAAGTAACGTATACAAAATTTAATACTTATGTTATTTATTTGTATGGTTTATAATTAAGATCGCGTATTGTAGCTTTGGCGTCAAAGTGCATTATTATTGCATTCACTACATTATTAATGAAGAAGGGGGGCGCGATAAAAATTGTGATTGAAAAGGGGGGCGCCAGCATTGAAAGTTTGAGAAGCACTGCAGTATAGTTAATATTTTTTATGTTTTACAATTACTTAAAAAATTAATACAAAAATTTGTATCTAAGTAATTCGAAATATATTGATAATTACCTTTTTACGACAGATAGAAAGACGTGTTTTCGTTGAATTTGAAAACAAAGCTAGATTTTACAGCTGAAAGTAAAAAATGGACCACGGCTACTGTCTGTTGATAAAATATAACACTTTACACTTTCTGCGAACCGGTTCAATCGTTAGATTCGTGATTTTTTTACTTAAGGCTATCCCAGAAGCAAAAACGTATAAGAATATCTAACCCGCTCGATCGTGTGGAATGGGTCTTAATGAGTTATATAAAGTGCAAGACATGTTAAATCCGCCCCATCTAGTATGGTGGTTATGACACTCGGCTTGTAAACGAGTGGGTTTGGGTTCAAATCCCAAGTAATGAATGTGTGGATGTACCTTCGGGGGAAAAGAAATCAGACTTTTTCACCTGAAATGGATTCCAATCTCGAAAGGAAAGCAGCGTACCTCTTCTGTTCTTTGCTGTGATCATCGTTAGTAATAAAATCTGTATTCTTCTGTGATTGTGTTATATGTTTCTGTTCATCTATCTTTCGTATGTATCCCAGTAATAAACAAGACGTTAAAGAGCAGTTTTGGAGGAAATTGGAATACCGTTTAGACATTCGCTTAACTCAAAGGATTCCAAATTAAAATTTACTGAGGCAAAACATCTTCTAAAAATTTATTTTATTATTCATGTCGTAACAAACGTATGTCTAACTACAATAGTTTGAGCACAATAAATATTTATAATCAGGGTAAGACTTTTGATTCACCCTGTATTTAAAAAAATGCACTGTGGAATCTTTGAAGAAATTTTACTGGATACAGATTTAGCAGCTATATTGACCATTTCGGTTCTTTCCTGTGTGGGAAAGTATCAAACGGAACAAACCTTTAATATTTTTGAGATTCAGATGTAATTATTTTTAATATTTCAGGAATCAATCGAAGAGAGGAATGAGCTTTGGTGATATAATGATCCTAAGACATTTAAAAAATGTGTAAAATTAAGAAGCATTTCATTACTTAGACTGAAGACAATTTCTTCTTTAAGAATTAAATTATAGTGTCAATGTGAATTCCTTAGCTAAATAATTCAATTAAATTAAGAAAATTAATTTCAATTGTGGATTGCTTGTTTATCTGATTCCGTAGCTTAAAATTAACCTAAACTCAAAGAATTCGAAAACTTTGTTTAAAAAATTTTCAGTTGAAAAACGGATTTCCTGATGTGAAAGAATTCTTCAACTATCCAACGATGAAATGTTTTCGTCTCGACCTTTCCGCAATTTATTTATACCAAGCTTTAAATATTTTTCTTCAAATTCTAAAAGAGAAATATAATATGAATAAGTATAAAGTAAAGGTATTTGTATTAAAAATAAAGTATATAGGGTGTATCCGTACAATGATTACGTACTTTCAGGACAGATAGTGTACACATAGCCTATGGAAAACCACATGGGAATGAATGCATGGTCGGAAACGCTTTCCCGGCACGGTAGTGATGGCACAAAACACAAGAAAGACAGGACACGAATAAGAAGAGAAAACATGCTTGTTATCCTTATTACAGCAAAAAATTCCAACAAAAATCATTAAAAGGACAAAAGTGATACATGTCTGGGACATGCGCATGTGGTTATATGCAAGATCCGTTAGACAGTCGCAAGTGAAATCTTGACGACTGGCGATAGCTGCATACTGGTACTGGGGTGGTTCTGTACCACATCCAATACAGTCATTATTCGGTGCTTTTATTTTTCGATCACGTTCCTGTGTGTTCGCGATGTAGGATCCACTGTCCGACAAACTCTGGCGCAAGGAAGCAAAAAGGGTTTGTATGGGAATTCCTCTTGGGGTAACATTGAGCGTACAACCACTATGTTGTTCGTCCATTGCATTTAGCAGCACCATATGCCAGATGCAAATCAGCAAGCTCAGCGTTCGTGTAACGTTCCATATTGCTACCACTTTGTCTGCATAACGAGCTCGGCAGCAAAAACCGCTTTTGCGAACACACCCTCATGTGGTGCTTCGGTTTATATAACGCCATCTTTTGCTTACACCAGCCAAAGACATCCCAGCATTTTTGCTGTCCTAAGAGTTATAAACATGTTTCCTCCTCTTATAGTCTTGCACTGTCTTTTTTGTGTTTTGTATCGTCACTACCGTGCCAGGAAAGCATTTCCAACTATAAATTGTTATGTGATTTCTCATCGTCTAGGTCCAGAATGTTTGTAACCAATTTGATGGAACATCCTGTACATAAAATAAAGGTATAAAGATTAAATATTCATAAAAAGAAGAATTGTAATATACCAAAGTTTTATATACTTGAATTAAAGCCATAAAAACCCTAAATTCAGATTTTCATTCAACTCCTTTTCTTAGTTCAACACATATTCAATTTTGAAATTAACATCAGAAAAGTGAGTGAGTGTATATATATAACACCGATAACAATTTAAATAGTTCACATGAATTGTCGGAATACCTTGTCAAGATATCAACGTAACACGTAGAAAAACATCAGCTGAGCGTATGCGAGAGCACAGACGTCGTAGAAGAAATGCCGTTGAGTCTGAACTAGTTCAGGAACCACAACATCAAGTACCATACGTTGAAGGAAGTGAAAATGCTACTCTGTCAAGTTACAGCGATTTTTATCGTCATCGACTTGCACGTGAAGAATTCAAAATTAACCCCACAAGCCTTTGATAACTTAATTATACAATTCAATACATATAAGCCAAAAATGTTAACTTCTACCACGTGTTCACACTGATACACGCCCTCATTTTTTCTCAGAGTGCATCTTATTGTTATACCCTGATTCATATAGGGATATGTTTATTCCGGTGCCATTTCCTTGTCAATCAAATTAGACTTCTTCTTATATCGAGAAATACTGTTTATTTAAAAGAAATGACATACATTACGAACTTAAATGTTTGTAGTTCTAGAAATATACTATTTTTCTCCAAAACTTTGAATGATACATCGAATAAATGTAAATAAATAACTTTTAAACATAAGAGCAATGCGCACATACATTTAAGGTTTCTTCGTAAAGAAAGGGAAGAAGAATTAAATTTGGTTCTAAAGAAAGTAATTATCTTTATAAAAAGGAGCAATTAAAATATTAAGTGCGAAGTTTTTGCACTCTAATCAATGAAATTAATATATTTTTCTTAAAGTATTAACACTTCAAACGAAATAGAGTTAATGCGCAAACAATGTATTTGGATAAATAAACAGAAATATGACACTTACCGACATTTTCTTCCTAGCAACAAATTTAAAATGAGTTATTTCATATTTTACACTAGTATTCTAGTGAACCAGAACCGAAATTTGAAAATCACATTCCCTTAAACTGCCTCTTCCTTCCTCTTTATATGTTACTATATACATTCATGAAATGTAACGGTTCCACTAACACTAATGCAATTAAAAGGTTTCTGAACATTTCATCTATGTAACGCGTCACAAGAGCCTGTGCTCGTCGCTCTAGGGCAATCTACGTGAAGTAAACATTCCTCGTTCAATAGCTGAGGAACATTCGCTATTAATATTAATGTAACATTGTCCTTCCCACTCGAATGTATGGATCATTGAAGATAATGGTGTGCAGCAATAATTCGTTGGGAGAAAACTGTGCTTAGGAATTCATAATTCAACCGACAATTGGAATTTATTTTAACCTTTAACGGCTCCCCGCTTATTTCAATTCTCTAGTGTGAATCATTTACTGTAATGATCACGAATAGGGAATATATCTGCTTCGGTACTTTGCAGGTTGCAAAATTAAATATTTATTCGAATACAATTTTTATTCATGTACTCAATTACGAGTAATAAATTACTAATTTTACTTTATATCTAATGGAGGCAATCAAAATGAACAAAATATAAATCAATTTTCCGTTGAAGATGTGTGTGAAAAGCGAACGTTTAAATTTTTTACTCAGACGAATACAGACGAGTACTTTTAATTGTTAGACATTCGTTTTTATAAGTTTATAAAATAGATAAACTAGAGAAATTATAAACTGCTGTTTATAAAAAATGCAGCACCATGGAGGAGGCATCAGAAATAAATTAAATGTAATCATCTTTTGTGAAACTTTAGGAAGTGTATCACGAGCGAGACGCCAGTCAACCAAATCCCACACATCTTCAATAGGCGACATATCTGGCGAATCATCAGGCCAAAGAAGAAGTAGCATCTGCTGGGCTTAAAAGAATGCTTGACCATTCTTTGCAACATGGAGGCTTGCATTATCCTGTTGAAACTTTAAAGCAAGTTGACCACTTTGGGCTCTAGCCCTTCACGGATGTACCAGTTGCTTTTCAAATTATCATCAATTCGTAGTAGCTGAAATCTTCCATGGTACGACCCCAGACCACAACTCCTGGTGTTCGGACACTATGGCGTTCGATAATGCATTCTGAAAGGTAGCGTTTCTCCGGCATAGCGTCCAACACGAGTGCGGCCATCATGGTTCCACAAATTTTCGTGGGATTCATCAGAAACAACAACCTGTTGTCAATCAGCCCAATAGGTTATGTGTTCATGACCCATTTTAAATGCAGTCCTCGATGATTTACCGAGAGGGGGTTCTTGTATAAAGGAATCATTGCACGCAATCCATGGTGCTACAGACGTCTATGAATTGACGAAGCCGATATTAATACTCCAGTAGCAGTAGACCACCGGGATGTCAACTGCGTAGAGAAAGTATTCAATGGTCATTCATCATCATGCTGACAAGGTGTCTATCATCGTAAGCTGATGTCACCTTCCATCTCCCACTCCTAGTTTTCCAAGTTGCCCTGTGCTAGTCCGTCCACTGCTTCCAAATGCGCATCGCTATGGAATTTTTTCGCTGCACACGAGCTGCTATTGCGTGACAAGAAAATCTTCATCTTTGAAGCCCGATGATTCTCCCCCATTCAAACTCCGTAAGATGTTGAAATTTCACCCTATTTCATCCTGGAGGCATGCTTAAGTCCCATTAAACATTTGCCACTAAGAAATGACCATGCATGATTTTCAACGATGCGTTACAGCTCTCTAATTATACGCTTTCAGCATCAACCGTGGAGGGCCCTGCTCTCACCACGCATGCGTGATGGCTCTGAAATTTTACTTCTTTGCATAACATCCTATACTTTGACATTTGCTGCAGGTTTCCTTTCATTTGAATGATTCCTTTATGGTGTTGTGTATTGTTTCCAGACAGCAGTTTATATACAACCATTCTTACATTGCTAGAGGACATTAAATTATACACTAGAATCCAGAAAATTTGGACATATATGGACTGAAGGGTGGCCAAATTTGCGAAAATGCCAAGTTTTTGAGAGAATGGGA